TTTGTACTGGTTGCCAGAGGAAGCAAGTCAAACTAAAACTTCGTAGGGTATTCCATACATATTATAGATCTTTACGTTATCTCTGGCTGACCGTTATTTTAAATATTGGATTCGTCGCGTCTTTAACTAAAAAGAGGTGTTGGTCCCCAGACTCCCTGGGACAACGCTCTGGCGCCAAAACTTTTAAATACTAAGTGCAAATCACTTCTTACGGCAAGACGCCAAGATGAAGAAATTTGTTCGCTTTCCCAGAGAAAGTAAAATGCTTTAAGGACAGCGGTATTCGAATCAACGAAAGGTTGAAGGAACTTGAAAGAACCTTTGTCTTTCACTGGTTCACTTTCTGCCCAAATTATCGCTGATCGACTTATGTAGTAATTTAGAGTAGATCTATTGATGCAGACTCTGCTTGGACTTGCTTTGTTACACATTGTTGAGATGAGTAGATGCCTGCATGTGCTAAAAATTAAGTTTTATCGACTCGATTTAGATAAGCTCGTAAAAAAACAAACACTCAGCTAATTTAAATGATTCATACATTAATAATAATGACGACTAGCTTTGGTGACGGAAATAACCCCAGTGTAAGATTTTGATAATTGAATCATATGTTTGTTTGTTTGTTTGTTTCGGTTTTCTCCTTTTGTTTTCTTCACAGGAAGAGATCGAGATTAATACTTTTGAGAAAGTAGAAATTCCATCTGAATATAAAGGTTTGATAATTGGTAGGCACGGAACTAATCTTCGTGAGTTGGGCAACGAAACAAGAGCAGAAGTAACGCGGAAAGATAGGGAAGTGTGTATTACGAAAGGAATAAAGAAGCAAAGGGAGCATGTTAAACTGCTCATTGGAATCAAAATTGTGCGTATTTGATATCCGTTTTGTAATATCATAATGGATACTTTTTTAAGTCACCTCATGGGCATTTTGTTGGAGAGTATTACCCTTAACAGGGTTTGCTTCTTTTCACAAGACATAATCAAGCTTCTCTTTTTCTTCCGGCACTTACAGCTAGGCCTGTGATGCACGTTTTTCTGGCTAGGTATCGGAAGCTTTGCTCACGCATGCATGACAGCAATGAAAAGGGAAGGTTTTGACAGCCATCTTCAGTTGTGTTTTGTTAATCATAAAGATCTGTAAAATTACTAAAGAAGACTTCAATTTCAGGCTATAGGAAGAATAAGAGGCGGGAGAAACGAACTCAAAATCTGTGGCTTCATTGATGGCTGGAATCTCTCTGAAAACTGTAAACTGAAGTTGGTTTTGGTCCCAGAAAAAGAAGGGCGGTATCGACTGAGACCTTCAAGTGAAGTAGGCCAACAGGTGTATTGTCCTTAATATACTTATCAGTGGCAAAAACAAGGACAACTTTGTTTAGGGTAATATAACTTTACTTGGCACTGAATGAGGCTCTTGATATGGGCTTACCATAGAACCCTTTTGATGCAAAGGGAATGTTAAATCTGTTTTCGGTTGTTGCCGATTTCAATTCCTACGGCTTTTGCAGGTTGGTCTAGTATCCTATCAGTACTATGTGTTTTTATTCTTTAGGGGGCACAACGAAACCTACTGAATCACCACTACCTGTGCCACCCGTTTTGATATAGTTTTCTTTTCACAGAGAAAAGTCATCTCTAGGAATCTCCTCCCTAGTACCAGTTAAATAGTTGTAGGTTATGGAAAGAGATTGCAGAATCGTAAATATATCGCGTTTATTGTACGGGGGAATCAAATTTCGACTGATTTATTAGGAATATATCTGATCAGATACCCAAACCCCCAAAAATTCATATCCTATTCTCTCACAGTTATATGGTTTTGAAGATAGGTAAATAAAATCTATTAATGGTTACCACTCAATTTTGTTGTGTACCGATGTATGCCTGGCTGGTAAAAACTCTATTCTTTTGCTATTAGATATCTGTAAGCGACTCAACTTATCTGTCGAGACTTCAAGACGCTGTGTTGAAATCACTACGTAAAATGAAAGGCCGCGAAGAAGCAAAGAATCCTTTGGATGCTGAACTCTGGTGTCATTTTGGATCGGCTGTGATCCGAGGACCCAGGGAAGGTAAAACTTGTAACCAGTAACACATAAGAAAATTGAGCGCGTTTCAAGTTTTGAAATATACAATCTATAAGCCACTTTTGTTAAATTCTGATTATTACATGTCATGAGAATCGTGCTAAGCATCAAGCATTTTACAGTTATTTTTTTCATAACGTATACGTGTACGTTTACTTTTTAATTAGGCGGGATTGCTGATGAAACACGATTTATTTTTTGGCAAAAAGGTCAGCCACAAAAACCCTCTATGGCAAGGATCATATATATTTTTAGAGCCATAAATCATTAATCAGATAACGATTATCTGTTTCCCTTCCGTAAAATTATTTGCATTATGTTACTTCTCCTTCTTCACAAGTCTTTTGTTACGTAAGGCAATACGACTTCGTAAGCGACGTAAGGCAACATATTCTACTTAAGTAAGCTAGCCTGAAGCGATCAAATGCCTTTTTCGATAACATGATTTTCATTTCATTTTTGTTCCTGTTTTGTTTTTTTCCATTGGTATATGAAAGTCACATTTTACTTGGTTTGGCAATCACATAATTCAACTCAACCTCATGGCTCACCAGTTTGGCCACTTGTCTTTACCTTGTTGTCGGAGAAGTCGGTCTTTTTCCTCACGAATGATTGAGTGTTTGAATTTTTTCTCTGTTATTAATATTTATTCTGTTATTAACCATTGCACAAAAGCTTTACAAATACAATATTGATTCAGCATTGAGTTGTTTTTTAATAAGTTTCAAACTTTGTCTCTCATTTTCCTGCAGTTTGAATGGCGTTCTTTACAGAAGCCTTAAAATCTGATTGGTTGTTGTGTTTTAACAAGGTTCTCTCGTTGGCTGGGAAAAAGATGCGGTTTGGAACATAAAATCGTGTTATTCGTGAATAAATTGCACTGATGAGAGCTTTTTAGATTGCAAAGATTACTATTAAGTTCACAATGGCTACAATGAAGGCTAAGATTACCGTTAAGCGCTTGTGATTGAACATTGTGAAAAGCGCTATATTAGTATGAAATTGTTTTTATTTTCATTTTCATAATAAGCTAATTTTACGCAATACTTTTGCTTCCTCTTACATAAAATAACCATTCAAATCAAAGATGTCCAAATTAGTGCTTAACAACAATACAAACTAAACTTAAAGAAGCTCTGTTATCCACCAGGAGAGTGGAGCATTTATGATGCAACAACAAGATTTCAATATTCAGCCGATGGAAATTATGGGAAGGTTACATTTCAAGAAGGCGTGGATTTCACGGTAGATTTATTCGAAAATTATTTCTATGAAAGTACACCGAAAGAATATCGAGATTACGCCGCAAGATATGACTTAACATTCGTTACTCCATGCAGTCATCAGTTGAGATGCAAGGTAAGTCTGTTCAAGGATCTGGTTACATGGGCGGCGACTAGCCCAATTATAACAACTGGCCTGGGTAAATTTTCCTAGCGAGATATGGCTGGCTTTTATGATTTTATAAGCGATTCATTACTCAACGGAAACTTTGAAAACAATGGCTGGTAAATAAAGAAATAAAAGTCGACTGAAACAAGGTCTTATTGTTGAACATTATGGGCAGTTTCGAAGTTGTTGCTAGACCCATCTGCACAGTAACAGAAACTGTAAGAGTAAGTTTAACTTGACCTTAAAAGTTTTTAATTAGCACTGACTATACTAAGTTACCTTGTGTCAAAAAAGATAAAACCTTCGTGTAAGTAAGCCTAATTTTACAATTATCTATCCACTAATGTTAAATATATGTACTTATCAAGCTACGACAGTTACAAAATAAAACATTCGAATGGGAAAACTGTGACTACAGGTTTTTTGCCTTCACAAATAAACGGACGGACGGGAACAACTCTATTAGCTTCCTCTGGGAAAAGGCTTTCGTGGGGGCACTCGCTGGTTACGGGAAGGCCGAGATCTATTACGGCTGTTGACTATCCTTGAGACAATGACTAACAATAACGTAAATTTATTCTGCAAACACAACTGCACTTTTTTTTTACCAAACTGAGTTTGACCTGGCCAGAACTGGCTCGACCTATCTTAGTTTCTCCTGGCTAGAAACTGACCAAAGAAAGCTCTACAAAACAGCTCTATTTAAGCCTAATGTACAAAGGATTAGGTAATGCTATGAATTATCTAAAAGATCACGTAATCTACTACAACGATTGGCTAGGCAGGAATTTCGCCTTTTACAAGATTAATTACTTTCGAAAAGCTCTGGTGGATAACAACTTTACAAATGGCCATGACAGGGGACGGTTACAGTTTGACACTAATTACAGTTATGATCTAATAACAAATACATGATTACGTTGCGTGACACAATATTCATACAGTTTGTAAGCAGTTCCTTTCACTTTATCAAGTCTTCAAAAATCGATGAAAATAATAATCTACTTGGCATATTTAGTGTGTTAACAGTGAATTATTGGAGAGGCCTGATGAAATGCTGGGGGTGAGCCCATAGTTGGGAATTTTTGACAATTCCAAGGAATTCCCAGAAAACTGGGAAATACAGTTCAAAAGGGTAAAGTACTACTACATGTAGTTGCACTAAGCTATGGAAATATTTTGACACCATGGAGAGGGATGTATAGACCAGGCAATAGATTAATACTCTACTAAAAAAGCGTTTAATTTATCTTCTCTAACCCTGCAGATTTCTCAGTACCCTGATCCCTGGAACCCACCTTTGGAATGCAAAAGAAATAATTACTGATTTTTTAGCTCTATTGACTCCAGCAGCCACTACCTTATAATCTCCTTCTTGCCCCAAAAATTAATGTCATCTGCATGAATCATTGGTAATTCACGTTTGGTTGACTAAGAGTGGTAACTTCGTCTGTTTATGATTGAGGACTGGTTTAATGACTAAACATCTTCTAATGAGGCTGAAATAATGTTTGTAGGCAAAATCGGAAGTGGATGCCAAACAGACGAGGATAATGGTGACCCACCGGAATGCAGTGTGCATCTCCCAGACCTGTCTAACCTTCCATCTTCAGGTACAGATCAATGCCCAAGCCAGCCAGATGTTCTTTTACTGACTGTGAAAGACTGTGAGTTCTTAAGTTGCTATGCATACCTGCAGCCGAATCCACTTAAACGCTATGTTCATGGTCTTGGTTATGTCTAGTTTGGCAAAGTTTGTGATGAAGAGTATGAGCCTGTGAAAGTTGCCTTGATGAAATGCTATGAGGGCTCTGTTGGTCCTGGATGTTCTTTAACTGCTGTAAAAGATGCTGTCACCTGCCTTAAGCCCATGGGAGTTATTTCTGTGGGATATTGCAGTGGCCTGAACCGTGAAAAAGCCAAACTGGGAGACGCGGTTGTGTGTGCAAAGCTCACAACATATGCACCCAAGATGGTTTTGGATACTGAAGAGCAATCAACTGGAACAAGAACTGTTGTCACCAAAAATTTCCTGAACCTCATCAAAAATGTTGCTGATGGGTGGAAAGCACCACTGAAAAATCCTGAAACACGAGAAGTGGAAGCACATGCGGGTGGCGAGTTTTTAAGTGGTCCAGAGAGGATCAGTGCAGATTGGCAGCGTGCAAAACTCCTTGAAGCATACCCCCAGGCTGATGCAATTGAACTGGAAGGAGAAGGTGAGTTGGGTCATGGTTCTGCCCCTTCTCATGTTTGAGTAATACATGTAGCATGTTGACTTTAAAATGTACCATTAGCTCTCTAATTATCTTAAGATGCCTGGGTGCTGGGATTTTAATTGTGATTAACCGTGTGACAGGTAATTACTCCATAACCATAGCTCATCCTGTCTCTGCACACTGAACCCTTAATTACACTTAATATTAATGGTGGCAGACATATCATATAATTTGCCAGGCATTTTTGCAATCTTGTATCGTTTCACCAACCACTATACTGAGCTTGAGAAAGTCCTGGACCTTACCTGAAATGTCTTTTAACATACTAGATCAGCTGCAAATGCAGGTAATTGTGAGCTCCAGGTTGATTAGCTATAAAAGGGTCATTGTGATGTATTTTTGGGGACTACATTCTGCACCCAGAAGTATGTATGGATAGCAGTTAAATTTAAAGGAAACAAGATGAAGCATACCTTACTGTGAGAGATATCATGTGATGGACTAGCAGCCCATATCTCTGAAAAGAAGGAATCGTTTCACTCTTTGGAAAGTGGGATAATCTCTAGCAATGTGGGCCATTAAGTATGCTTGCTAGAGTGCACACAATTATTTGGATTATCAGCCTAGAGAGCCTTTCACGGTTTGGATTATTTTAATCGCTTTTAAAGGGCAGTAGATTGGGCAACAATTTAACCTTAAAAAGAAATAAGTAATTGAGTGGTTATCATCCTAATTACTCTGACATATCTAGCTTTTTTCTCCTTTTTGTTACAGGAGTGTTCACTGCTGCATTTGATCTTGGCATTGAATGGCTCCTAGTAAAAGGTATCGCAGATTTCGCTGATGGTAAATTAGTACTACATGATAGGAAATTCAATTAAAACTGATATGATAGTCTGCGAAATATGTAAGATAAACCTCTTCTACATTTTTTTCATAATTTTCTACGGGTAGTACTTAGCGATTCCATCCATTATCAGTTGTCTCCCACCCCACCCTGCCCCCATCCTTAGGATCAAAATGTGCACCACGTTGAATCCACTCCACCAGAAGCTGCAATGTAATGATCTCCATTACAAAGGGAAAATCAAATTCCAATCTCGCCATCATCATCGTCCAGCTTCTTTTATTTTGCGTGGTATTTTCGAAGTCGCGCAGTTGTTTTGTACCAGCGAGAAATTTTTGAAAAATGTCCTTGGAATGTCGAAGACATAGCAGTTGAAGGGTCAGGTAAGAAATTTACAGAATTTATTCTATCGCGAGATCCTCCTAAACAACTCTCTCATGCAGAATGTTTTTGAAGCAATAGTGGACCACGAGGTATGGAAGTCAGTCCTACGAAAAAGTCTTTAACCAAAACTGATCTTGCAGGTGATTCAAACGATTTTTTTGGACTGTATTTCAAAATGAAAAAAAGGCTCATAACCTATGCAGACTAAATTACTTGTATAAATTGACCTTCAGAGTTGATCAGTGTTCCGCGTAGAAAGTGAGGCCCACGAACTGATCCCAAATCGTGCAATATTATCCAAGCTTTAAGAATCATTGGATCCAAGAGGAATACATTTGTAATTCGAAATCAGAAAAATGCAAATTAAGTCTTAATCTCGTACCAAAATTCAAGAAAACATGATTGGAAACTTACCTCTGTGGCGGGTCGTGAAAACAGATTTCTCTCTTCAGGCTAGCAGATTCGGGTAAGCGAACAGATTATAAAAAACCTACTTCTCTCTTTACTGATTCTTCTCAAGAACTGGTTTAAAGCATGATAAGCTAACACTTTAAAATCATTTTACGGAATTAATGTCATCACGAGTCGTGTAATTAAAATATATCTGTCATCATCATCGGCAACTAAACGAAACAATCAGAACTGATCGTGGCCAGATGAACAGTGAAGACGGCCGACAAGTGAGTGACAACGTGAACTCAGGGGTGGAACATCCGGATGAGACGCAGAATCAGGGTCAGTTCCACAACACTATCAGGACGATGTTACTTTTTTTTTTCAATAACTCCTCTACAAGGTTTACAATAAAATTCTAACCAGCTCACAGGCACTCTACCCTTAAAGAGGGTGTGAAAAGTGCATCTTAACTTTACACCCACGTCCAAAGTCTGTGGCTACCAGTATGTGATCAACTGTTTTCACGGCTAGGTAACCTAAACCAGTTGGCATGTACTTAAAAGAGGTGGGTTGTTACTCCACCCTCATGACAATGAAATAAAGTTGCATTATAAAAATAATTTGTTATTCGATCCAGTGTCAATGAGGGTAGCTCTGAGGGGACTGCCTGCATGAGCTCCTTACAGACCTCATTGATAATGCGCTCAAGGTAGAAATCTGTCCTCTTCCAAGAACATCGTTCTTTAATACGAACACCAATCCGGCAAACCGTTGAAGCGAAGGTCTTTGCCTTCACTGGTCGCAACACAAATAGAAAAAAGAGCTAAAAAGCCAAATGTCTGTCTTTTCCCGCCAAGAATAAGTACGAAACGTTCCTTAAGTTTATTTTGTAAGTCTCGTGAGTTATGTTCTCTAGGTGCAATGACGAGATCTCGAGCTTTTGGTCCGTGTTTTCATCGTTCCTCCCTTGGAGGTTTACATGTTCTTTATTTTTCTGTCGCTGTGGTGCGGGTACTTTTCAATTCAAGGGCCATAGGCGATGTTCTCAGCTCGAGAGCGCTGAACGGCCTTTTTTCCTGCATTAATTCCTTTTTTCCTATTTATTCCTTTTTTCCTATTTAGGTCCTAAGGACTGAAAATACGTCTCACTCGTTCGAGCTCTTTCTTCCCGCGTAACTCTGCTTACGCGTATATTTACTCCAAATGTATGCTCAATGTACACCCATCATACCCTACTTAGTTGCATCTTTGCTTTGGGTTTGACATCTATTGTCCAGTTTTCCCGTTAAATGTATTAATGATGTTTTGATGATGTATGTACGTGTTCAAAGCCCAAACTCGAGTCACGAGTCGTGAACCAGAATCTTAGAGTCGGTTATTTACACGAGGTCTAACCCAAACACCGGTTTTACGCAAACAGTGAGCCGCAGGGATTCTCTAAGTGACGGTGGATTTAACTCAATAAATTTCCATACATTGCTAACTTTTCACCTTCTTGACACTGTCAAAAATAAATGTTCAGATAAAAGATTAAACTAAAATGAAGATGGTTTAGAAGGCAGTTTTGTAAAAAAAAAAAAGTGCTAAACTTTGTTTAAATAACCGGCCGTGATGAAAAGTCGTTATTGGTTGGCTAGCTAGGAGTGGGCGGGGGGAAGGGGATGAAGGATTTAGGGGGAATCATAACATGGTTTTCGGGAGGAATTAAAGGGAGGTCAGTCGTCGCCAAAAAAATGCAAAAGGGGAACTATAGAAAACCTTTTCTTTTTTCGACGACTTAACAATTTATTAAAAGAAAAAAATAGGCGGGCGTGATCAGTTTCCGTGTCAAAATTCTAAACTGTATCAGAGCTACTGTAATTTTCGATGTAGCGCCCGGGGGCCTTTACTTTTGGTGCCTAAACAAAGGGTGCCTGTTCAAAACAAGCTCATTAGGGACAGGGCGCTTATTTTTCTTCTCAGAAACAGAATAATATGCGAAAAAAAAAGCTGGAATTGTTCAATTAATATGGAAGACTACAGAACAGACTTGTTGTCCTGGGATCCTGCAAGACTAAAACTACCGACAGGACAATGGTCACAAACGAGATTATTCGTTTGAAGAAACTGTGGACTCACGTGGCCACCATTTTCTGTAACGAGGCTTTAAATGAGAACTGAAAGGAAAGTGAACTACGGTTGATCTCGTTGCAAATATACTCTAGCAGTGCCATCACTGAAACAGAATCGGGGCGCTTAACAGAACATGAGTGCTTATCCAGTAGGAGTGCTTATCAGAATAGGGGCGCTCATTAACAAAAACCAGATTCGAGAGGGGCCCTTCTTAGAGAAGGAGAACAAAGACGCTAAATCAATGATTATGGTACTTTGCCATGCCTGGGAAACATTTTGCGAAATGGGTGACGATAGCTCAGATTGGCTGTAATTGACTCATCTTAATTTTAAAGGCTCACGGAATGTGTAACATTTCTTAAGCTAACCCATGTTCTTCTGTATTTTAAAATGCGATAAAAAAAGCCTGGACTCCCATTTCTGTGCTTCACAACCTTTTAGACAAATTTAATTTTTTGACTGGGTAATAATTGAAATTGCTGGGGCTGATTATACCACTAAGAACTTCGTGCAAAATTCAACTTGACAACGGGTTAAGAGATATATTACAATGTGAGGCCAGAGATGCAACTTGAGATATTATTTTGACCTCGTTGGGTCTCGTCTATACTGGTAGCAACACAAAATAGGACAAACAGCTAAAGAGCCAGATGTCGTGTCTTTTCCCACCAAGAATAAGTAGGAAAAGTTTCTTAAGTTTATATTTTCCAGGTGTAGTCACGAAATCAGTCGAGTTTTTGGTCACGTTGTTTTCGTTATTCCTCCCTTGGAGGTTTATCAATTCTATATTTCTATGTCGCTGTGGTGCGGAGGTTTTTAAATTCAAGGGTTATAGGCGATGTATTCCGCTTGAGAGAGCTGAATGTGCCCTTTTCTGCAATTATTAAGGGCTGAAAATACTTATCACTCGTTCGAGCTCTTTCTTCCCGTGTGACTCTGCATACAAGCTTATTTACTCCAAATGTATGCTCAATCTACGCGGATTGAGCCTCAGTTAGTTGCATCTTTGCTTTGGGTTTGACCGTCTATCGTGCTGTTGTCGCGTTAACTATTTAACCTTTGACCCAAATCTAATTTTGCGAATCAATAATAATTGACAAGTGGTAGCTTCCATGGATCTGCGCGTAAATTTCGTGTAAACTGAAAAGTTTTCTTCTCTGATTTTGTTGATAGGGTGGCCATCGGAAAGACTTCGAAATATCAGATATATATCACAGTTCAAACTATGTCATAGCGGTAACTTCTTTAGTATGTCAGACACGTTTTGAAAAATTGCTACTCATCATAACAATCAAATAGAATGTCAATCAAAACCAAGTCACACCCGCCAAACGATAAGATTTTTGCTCGATAGCACTTGATTTTAAAAGGATTGAGAGGCACACGATATTCTTA